TTATATAGGTAGTTTACGGGTCGTGCTGCAGTTGTACACATCAGACGAATCGGCGCGTAAGTGCGTCCGACGACGCGTCGATTGTGCAGCAATAGCTATCTGATCGTACGCCATGAACGTCGCGCGGTCGCCGACGGCAGTCCGGATGCTGCGAAACTGGCCGGTCGGCCGCGTCCGTCKTCGACTTTGCGCTTATTCGTCGTCATCGGCGGTCATCGTGACGCAGCGCGACGGCAACCGCGGTCGAATGCGAAAACCCGACGACTGGAACCGCGCGGTATCCGAGGCCGAGAAGATCGTCGGCTACCCGTCGTCGTTCCTGAGCCTCAGGTGGCTGCTCAGCGACGAGATAGCCAACGTCGCACTGCATCTACGCCGCATGGTCAGCTCCAACCACCCGCTACTGAAAACAGTCAAGTGAGTAARCCTTCCAGCACCGTCACACTGCACCTATATAGGTACATGCAGGCGTGTAATATCGTACACTGCCCTCGGCTGCAGCAACTGCACAATATGAAAAAATCCGACCCTGTAGGTTCCGTAATGGTTCACGAAAACCATGAACATTTTTAACACGATGGATATTAAATCGAGATAGTTTCTAGTGTTTGCCGTTTCCGCTAAAGAAAGATTGGTTAGGTACTAATGATTTTAATTTTTAAGCAATGACCTAACATACTTTTGTATGATAATCACAATAGTATAAATACTAAATAGTAATGAAACATGGAATATTTAAATATGATGGATATTACATTGTGATATCGCTGATAATATGCAATATTACATATTATAATCAAAATATTTTCTTATTGTAGTGTATCTACACACGCAATTGTTACCTTTGTACCTACATGACTGCCAAATAATAATATTTTGTAGAAACCTCTTTTCACAAAAATRTACTTTCGCGAAATGAGGGTCGTATCTCTTTCGTTGGGATTTCCGTAGATTAGGAAACCGAGCTTTTGGCGGAAAAGAGCAATGTCCATATTTTCAGATTCTATTTGATTCAAAAAATCATACGAAGAAATATGGACTAAATAAAAACTATATCATTAGCTACGTACTCGCACATTATGTTGGTAAAAGAAAAAATTAGATGCTGTGAACAATTATTAAGGTTCCAAATTAGTATTAGGTACTGTATWAGTATAAATCTGAATTAGGTTTGATAATTTGGTTGACGAAATTAATAATTAAACTGGTAGGGATCTACCAATACCGACAAACTTATTGGTGATAATATRCTACTTTGGACTTTGAACACTAATCAACTTTTGGGAGCACACAATATTGAATCATCGCTTTTATCTAAATTGTCGAATTTTACTCATACGGTAGAAGTGTAGGTATACATATTTTATTTTTGCATGAATGATTAATTGCATTTTTTATACAGATCAAGACCTATAATAATTATTATAATTGTAATTTTTTTAAATACCCAACTAATTTCCATTTTTATTTTATAGATACCGGACTCTGACTTTTTATGTTTAAGGAGTTTTTGTCACACTTTGTAATAATGTTATTATATAATTTAAATAGTTTGCTAAAAAACATTTTTCTGCCGTCTTCATGGTGGAATTGTGTAGTCTTTGTTATTATTGTCTCAAATGACTCAAATAAACTTAAATTTAAAGTATGTAGTTAATGAGAATTCATGAAATCTATTATATAGCTGTATATTATTTATATWTCCATTGATATAGGTGGTATTATTAGTTCTCGTCTTTTTTTGCAGAGAAAATAAGAAATACTTAATTTATTTAATTAAGAGTGTATACACTATGAAAATTATATGCTCTATAAATAACAAAATAAGCATGAAAAATAAAATGACATTATATGAAATCGGTTTTCAAACCCTCACAGTCGTACACTCTGAAGAATAAATACAAAAATGCATATAATTCCCAATCTGTATAATTAGAATTGATATAATATTATTATAATATCATATTTTTTAATTACCGTACTTACCTGTAGAGGGTTGTTGTACAACGGCCAGAGTAACATGCAAGCTTGGGGATTGATCGTGCTACTTGTGTCCAAGGCAGCCGGTCATATAAACGTGGAAAGCTCGGCGGACGAAGACAAGTCGGGTGTTTTGCGCAGTCAAAGGGCACTGGCCGAGATCGCAGAAATGATCCGCACAAGCCACCTGATGCACAACGGTCTCATAAATATTTATTCAGAAATGTTTCCTGAACCCACCAGCCACAACGACATGAGCTTCGGCAACAAGATTGGCTTGCTCAGCGGAGACTATCTGTTGGCCAACTCTTTCCACGAACTATCGATGCTCAAAAACCAAAGCGTGAGTAGATAATATATTCTACAAATGTATATAAATAAATAATAGTATATATTGATTATTCTTTGTGAGATATACCTATACGCTATACGTATATGGTGTCTTAACTCCTAGTATAATTAAATAGCTAAAAAAAGAAAACTAAAAATATTCGTTTAACTATCAATATTTCTGGTGACCAATTCACCATGGTACCACCGATCAACTGATTGCGATCAAGTGAGTAATAATTATAAACAATGCCAATCTACTTATAATTGCCTATAATGGACTTATATATAGCATATAGGTATAACAGTATATGCACGCAGTAAACCGTAGGTTTTTTTTATTTTCACTCATCGTAYAAACTACAAACGTCAAAATAATTTTGTTATGTAAGTACGTACCACTTTGTATTTATAATATTATTGTGAGGTTTTTCTGTTTCACCTTTAGCTCATGGAACTGATCAGCAGCGCCCTGCGTGACCTGTCCGAGGCTGAGTTCTTGGGCCGCAGAGACTTGCAAAACAACCCACTGCCTTCACCGTTCGAACCGCTCGACCGAAACCTCGACTCGTCCCCGTTGCGGTTCGACCCGCTCCAGCCATCCGAACTACTGCGGAGTGACATGCCGCTTACGCCTGCTCTATGCGATTGGACCAGGCGCAACGTACTGTCAGCTGGTAGCCTGCTGGGAAAGTCCTGCCAGGGCGCGCTCCTATTGGCCGGCCACAGCGAACAGTGGCAGAAACAGGGCTTTTTGTTTGGTAAACATCTGTCTCTAGCTTGGCAGGTAAACCACTTTAACATAACCAACGCCCGAAAATAATATATCAAGTCGAGAGACGATGTCACTGTGTGTGATCGCGTGATTATTTATTGTCTCCGTACGCGCTCCTATATATAGCAAACATAATTAACCTTCATTAGTTCATGTGCYTAATAGTTTCGTTATTATTTTTTTTCTTCTAATGTTATATTGTAGGTATCGAGTTAAAAGATAAACCATAATTTATAATGATATATATTGTTATTTTTTTCGACACCAATTAAGTGGCTTCTTCTTACGAAGCAAATTAATACAAGCATCTTAAAAACGTACATTTTTTCTGTAAATAATTGTAAAATGATCATAACGAACTATGGAGAGATACCCTAGATAATAATTTAACCTTAATATTTGATGACTAGTTAATTCACTCTAATTTTTAAACTAACCGAGTAAAATAGATTATTGTGAATGAAAACATTTACTATGCTGTACGTTTGTAAACCGGAAAAATTACACATGCAATTGAAGCGTCCTCTTAAGTTTCTCAATGACATATTATTTACGAAATGCGTTATTTTACGCAAATTTTTGCTAATATTTTRTACGAATCTAAATTAAATTTTCAATTCAAATAAGTCCGCTCTTGGAAATTTTATTACTCAATATTAATGGAWAAGTAATTTAAAAAAACAACAAAATATAATTTTATTACAAATATATACCTAGGAAAATTTTATAAAATCGATACATTGTGCTTCACAAGTGATTCATTAATATTGTACTTGATTTTTAGGCGTATTTAGATTTGGAACCATTTTTATCTGGTTCACCATACTCGCTGGGAATCTCTTTCAACCTGACTTCAGCACCAGTTATGTTCCACCTTGAGCACGATTCGTCATTATTTAAAGAAATCGATAAGGGCATTAATTCTATTCAAGACGTCGATTATCTCAAGGTAAATTTTTTCTCAAGAATTTACAAATTTTTTTTAATATAGCTTACATAAAGATATTATATTACCAGTTGATATTATATTTATAATAAAATATGCTAGCCGCTAGGTGGCAGACGCTCTATAAACAAATTTTATTATTTACTAGTGTAAGTATAGTAATTTACCAATGTAATGTAAACAATTATTTTTCATGCATTGTTGTATTATGATTCTAAAATTTTTTTTATTCCATATCTTTAATTTAAATTAAATAAAACTTTATGTTCATTTTCTGTTTCGTGTTTAACCTAAAAAAAGTAAAATGTTAGGTACCTACAGTTATTAAATAAAAAATACAATAAATAATTATAAATGACCTAATATTATCATCACTCATCATGTACAATGTAAACTCAACTAGGATAAACTATCTACCTAATATAATAATTGTTTAAGGGTGTGTAGTGGTCGGACGGATTAAGGCGTCGGTACTCGGTTGCGACACGCACCGTCGCGGGTTTGAATTCCAGTCATGGGCTGCATAGTTTTTCGGGAAATTCATGCTGTCTCTGGAAASACAGGCCGCCGCCCCCCACCCGGGTATGGCAGAAACCTATGGGTRCCCATTCAAAATTCTGCCAAAGATCCACGAGTACCRAAACCAACAGTTCCCTCCCCGACAGTTCCACAGGCTAATGGTCYTTGTTGTCGAAGGCTCAATCCCCAATACAAAATACTTGTTTAATTAATAATTTAACTATGATGAATTATTTATCAAAAATATTTGATATTTATCTATCATTAGTCATACTCTATAGTCTWTGTATTATATACTAAAACTATTTCTAGAACCCAAGGAAAAATAAAACCCAAGATTAAAAATATTATCATTTATGTAACAAAAATTGTTATTTTTAACTATATTCACATAGGTAATTATTAATCTCAATTAAAGCAATTATATAGCAACCATAAACGAATAAATATCAACAAATATATTGTTATTAAATTTTGTATTCATAACTACAAATTAGTAGTTCCATCAATATAATATACGTTACCTAAGCGGGGTGCTTGGATGGGGTATCCGACTATTTTTTTTTTTTTTGCAAATATTTAATATGCAGTTTGAATAAATTTAAATTACCATTTTTCGTTGATTATTTTGGAATAACTTACTCAATTGGGCATTGGCCCTAATAGTATTAGGAATACTATGTAAATTGAAATTGCGCGCATGTGCAAGTTATGTTGCCTATGTAGATGCAGTATAATAATAATATAATATAATATAATACGTATAAAATTATTTATACAAAATATCGTTGTCATTCGTTATTAACATACTACTCGTATCATAATAAAAATAAGTAAAATATATTGATTTTTTTATATTAAATTAGAAGTAATTAAATTAAATAATTTTATAGATAACTTTATTTTACTATAAAATATCTATTAAGYTTTTTTATTTGTWTACAATTTAAATCATATTAAAAAATAGAAGTATACCTATAATAACATTAAAATTCGTATCCATACATTTATGGCTTTTAGACTTTAAAATTTGATATTTGACCGAAAAAAATAATTATCATTAAGTATCTCATACACTATAGTCGGATATATTTTTGAATATTCATTAAAATTTATTATTCCAAATAATATGATTAYTTTGATTTTTGTAGATATTTCAACAAAAAAATTATAATGTATTTTATTGAACCTCTAGGTGCACGATGTTGTACTTAATGGTCCAGGAATTAATTATACGAAACAATTACAAAAGGAGCACTCAGAAAAAGCAATAGAAGTATTGAACGTTTTCGAAGAAAGCGACGCCAAGACAGCATTATCTAACATAATTGTCGCTATGAACCGCGAATAAGGTATCCTAATTCATTCAAAATCGGTTAAAAATATCATAAATCAAAACTATAGTTATAAAGTGATTTTCATTTATGAATACGAGCTGAATAAATATAAATTGGAGTAAGACGATGYATTGAATGATAAATGTATATAATTATTAATTATTTATAGTTTCTAAGTCATCTAAGCATTACATTATTTTAAAATCTTATAATTGTGTTAATTTAGTAATTTCGTCTTTTCTAATTTAAACTAGTTGATACTGACGTCTTTACTGCACAAATATCTAATATGTATATACTTTATAACTTGTTATAACTATCCTCAATCTACGATTACAGTATTATAATAATAATATTATTATAAGGTAATCAGCCACCGCAGTGTTTGCCCCGCATCGCAGGACTATCTCATTATTATTWTTTTTTTCATAACTAATTTATTTGAAATCTGAGTTTTAAATAAATGGCTGTTAGTTGTTTTTATATTTAAATAAGTACATTAATTATGATATTAATGAAAAATTATATTTTATTTATTTTAATTCTTAATTATATTAAAATTATTTACTTAATTACTTACTAAAAG